AATATATTCTTTATAGTTTTTCTAGGGAATTACAATGGACTCTGAGAGGAGTTGCACCTTTACAGATAACTTCGCGCTGTCATAACTTCTTGAATATAATGAATACTGAGTTTTTTAACTTTAAGCTAAGATTTCATAAAAATCGCAATTGATGAAGGTTTGGTTTCAACGCAGCTCTATTTATATTATAGAAAGTTCTTGAAAACTTTATTTAATTTATTAACGATAATTTATCCCTTAACAACTACTAGTTCAATTAACATTTCCAAATCGTTATTTGAATACCAGTTTGTAACAACAACATAAATCTGAAAAAGAAATGTCAAACAATTAAAGAAGACACCAAAGAAAACACGCATTTTATAGCTCAAATGTAAGGCTTTTTTAAACACGTTTCAGACTTTTAACATAAAGTGTATAAAGACAATTATCACGAGAATTACTTGTGTATTTAATATGTCGTCATAACTGCCGGCCGGCATTTGTTATTTATTTATTTAAAACGTAAAATTTCTGATATTTTAAATGTAACCAAGTGTTGCGAGAGTTTGACACTCAAGCTCACACACAACTAAAGCTCTCTAAAACAGTGTAAATGAACGCACAATTTACCACCTTTAAAATCTCCCCTTGAAATTTGTCTCTCTACTAGGTTGTTTTATTAAAAAACGTCACCGTCATTCAATTTGGAAAATGTTTTCATGTAAAAAACAAGTAAGAAATTATAGTCGGGCGAGGCCGACCATATAATACCCTACACCTGTTACAAAAATAAAATGTGATTTAGTTTTCATAATAAAGCATTTAAGTTGAATTGCACCTTGCCTTGAATTATACTTAAGCCATTTATTGTTGAATAAAATTGTGAACATTTAAGTCAAATTTTGAAGGGGGATTTGTATAAGGGCTATGAGACCCTATAATTATAAAATTCATGCGAGTCATCAAGGCTAGTATAGAACTTGGTTTTGCAGCTTTTTGTCGAGATACGAGTATATTAAACATAATTATAAACTTAAAATCCCTATTCGTCGTTTTCAGTTGTATGGGGTCTAGGTGAAATAATGGACCGATGTTAACCATTTTCAATAAGCTTCGTCTCCGGTACCATAGAAGATCATCTGCCAAATTTCATTGAATTATCTTTAAAAATACGACCTGTAGTTTGATTAAAAGGTTTACAAGCCCTATTCGGGGGTTCAGTTGTATGGGGGCTAGATGAGAAAATAGACCGATGTTAACCATTTTCAATAGGCTTCGTCTCTGGGACAATAGAAGATCATGTGCCAAATTTCATTGAATTATCTGCAAAATTGCGACCTGTAGTTTGATTAAAAGTTTTCAAACCCTATTCGGGGGTTCAGTTGTATGGGGGCTAGATGAGAAAATGGACCGATGTTAACCATTTTCAATAGGCTTCGTCTCTGGGACAATAGAAGATCATGTGCCAAATTTCATTGAATTATCTTCAAAATTGCGACCTGTAGTTTGATTAAAAGTTTACAAGCCCTATTCGGGGGTTCAGTTGTATGGGGGCTAGATGAGAAAATGGACCGATGTTAACCATTTTCAATAGGCTTCGTCTCTGGGACAATAGAAGATCATGTGCCAAATTTCATTGAATTACCTTCAAAATTGCGACCTGTAGTTTGATTACAAGGTTTACAAGCCCTATTCGGGGGCTCAGTTGTATGGGGGCTAGGTGAAATAATGGACCGATATTAACCATTTTCAATAGGCTTCGTCCCTGGGCCAATAGAAGATCATGTGCCAAATTTCATTGAATTATCTTCAAAATTGCGACCTGTAGTTTGATTACAAGGTTTACATGGACGGACAGACGGACGGACGGACATAGCTAAATCGACTCAGAAAATGATTCTAAGCCGATTGGTATACTTTAAGGTGGGTATAGGACCAATATTATTGTGCGTTACAAACATCAGCACAAATCCAATATACCCTCCCCACTGAAGTGGTGTAGGGTATAAATACGTCATATTTTCAATGACCAATTTTGTTAAAGGGAATGAAAGATTGAACCACCATGGGGTTATTGGTGGTATAGAACGTTGAGTGACAAGAAATTTGTGTTGATAAATATTAATCCATAGTACTTGTTAGTGGCTTGAATATAGTAACAACAACATACGAATATATGTATATGAACATGGGTATGTTCCAGTATATACACATCCATCTATCTGTCAATATAACTTCCGTTTTACTTTATTGTTTAACAATCTACGGTTGGTTTATTTCGGAAATTTATTTCATTTTATTTTGGTTTATTAAACATACTGCTCTAACAGAGTACTGTGTTTAGTAAAGTTAGTAAGTTACAATGCAGTTGGTTTGATGCTTAGGAAGGAGTAGTAATGGTAAATAATTTTCATGTTTATAAAGGAACATAGTAATAAAGAAACGATATGTTTTTTTTTTTGTAATCTTCCTTTTTTACAATTTATGGTTAAACTTTATTGATTGCATTTCATGGTTTTAATCAATTGAATTAATTGAAATTCTTAACACAGTTTGAAGAATTAATCATAAATTACACTTTATTTAATTAAAAAGACTCATAAAACTTTAAAAGTTTTGAAGACACTATGGTGTTAATAAAAATGAGACCCCTATTTATTTTTATTACCAATAAATTGTTTTGCTGCAAATCAACTTTAAAGCTTGTATGTTGATTTCTTTGCGAAATATGTTTGACAATTAAGTCAGCTTCAAAATGAGATAGGATCTAGTCTCGACTATAGACTAGACTAGGAGTGCAACTTTTAGGGATCCTAGGAAGACAAATTGGGGAACCTTTAATGATAAGGTAAAGTCTGAGTTGGCCCAACGGGCCTTTTGCGATTTGTTGTCATCGGATTTAGAGGGGGTTGTGAATAAGTTGACAAACCTACTTAAGGAAAGCTATGAGCTATCTTGTCCGGTTACTTTTCCGGGTAAAAGAGAGCAACCTAAGTGGAGGACCAAGGAACTTAGAATTCAAAGACGAATGTTAGGAAATTGTTCAATACGGCCAAGCTTACAGGTCAATCAATTGACTGTAACATCTACTAAATGTGTTTCAATAAGTATAAGGCTGATCCCAAAAGGGCTAAAAGCATTTCTGATCCCAGAATTGTGAATCCATTGACAATGTCAACGAGCGATCAAGATTCTGATGAATATTATCCAAGGACCCAATGGGTCATAGGGTATATCCGGGGGAGAGATAACTCATGGACTAAGGAACAATATTGATAATCATCACATTAGTGGCGCTCAGCATGCTTACCTCAAGGGTAAATCTGTCGAGAGAGCACTGCATGAGGTGGTAAGTTGTGTTGAGCACGGCTTGAGGAATAGGCATTATACTCTGGCCGCGTTTTCGGATATTAAAGATTCGCTAATAGATCTCGGAGTTCCTGGTGAGGTGGATAGTCTGCATGCTTATCAGTATAATTATTAAATCGACCCTAGGGGATCATTGCATTAGGAGAAGAGTTACCAGGGGACCACAACAGGGAGCTGTTTCATCACCTCTTCTGTGGCATCATTCAGACTACATCTATCTCGTTATGGGCGAATGTTAAGTGACTGAGTGTTAAGCCTTGTAAAACTGAACTGGCACTATTTACCAGAAGGTATAAGGGAGACAATTTTAGATTGCCAAGGTTAGATGGCGTCGAAGTCAATTCTATGGCTGGGCTTTATAGGGGCACATGGATTTTCTATCTCATTTATTTATTCCTTAGGGTGATATTATAGGTTGTATCCCCTTAGGAATATACCCGTTTTTCCATTCATATATTCTCTTTACCTATCTCCTTACTTTCTTGTCTTGTTGTAGTGTTCTTTGTTTCTGTTTTTGAATCTTTACTTCTTGAAGGGAATCACAATGGACCTTATGATCTCCGAGTGGATATACACCGTTGTTTTTATGGTGTATAACCCTTCTTAACCTAAACCTAACCATAGAATAACTATAAACTATTATTATTTAGACCAGACTGTAGACTAGACTGAAGACTATACTATGGACTATACTAGACTAAAGACTAGACTATATTTTAGTATTTAGTTCAATCTACAGTCTAATATATAGTCTAATATATAGTCTAATCTATAGTCTATTCTATATCCTAGTCTATAGTCAAGTCTATAGTCTAGTTTATAGTCAAGTCTATAGTCTAGTCCATGGTATATAAAATATTATTATTTTTTAAGTTATGGTCTATACTATAGACCAGTCTATAGTCTAGTCTAAATATAGTCTAGTCTTCAGTCTAGTCTAAAGTCTAGTCTAATGTCTAGTCTATAGTCTAGTCTATAGTCTAGTCTAGAGTCTAAAGTCTAGTCTAGTCTAAAGTCTAGTCTATAGTCTAGTCTAAAGTCCAGTCTATAGTCTAGTCTAAAGTCTAGTCTATAGTCTAGTCTAAAGTCTAGTCTATAGTCTAGTCTATAGTCTAAAGTCTAGTCCATAGTCTAGTCTATAGTCTACTCTACAGTCTAGTCCATTGTGTTGCGAAAAATTAACTAAGTACTTTAAAACTTAAAAAAGTACTATATTGGTACTACATGTACAACATATTTTAAAACTTCAATTTTCCACGTCTGGTACGAAGATTAAATAGGTATTTATTTCAATTAGAAATTGTTTAAAAAATGTCAAAAATTAATTCAATTTGCTTAAAAGTACTACAGGATCATGGAAGACAAAACTAAATAATTCCAATTAGAATATCTTAAACACCAAAATAATTTTACTCTTACATATTCTATAATTCTCGAACAAACTTATTAAACAACTTTTCAGAACAAATCCCTGAAATAACACACAAACTTAAACTCTATTAAAGGCAACTAAAAGGAAAAGACAATCATAAAAAGATCATTAAAATAATAAAAAAATACTTAAAGGGGAGGGGAATATAAAAATAGAACTATGGAACTAATACAACAACAATACAAAACAACAACAAAAGAAATGCAACTTGACTTACCTGTTGTTGCCAAGACGAGTATAAGAAGAAGACAAAAAAGAAGAGGAACACGTATAAAAATAGTTAAATGGTTGGACGATAATAAAAATAAAAAATGACTGGCTTATAATTCTGATGACGTTCACTAAATGTTGAATTAAGCTTCTATTATAAAAAGTAACACTGATGCTGCTGCTTTTTCTAAATGAAAAATCTTTTCACAAGCTTGTACTTTTATCAACACTTCACTTTTAATTTTCTCAACATTTATGATTTTTCTTTAGCTACTTTTTTTCAGCTTACACAATTTTCTTTTGTTTGTTAAATAATTTATTAAGTTATAGGTATGATTATTTTTGTTTGCACTAATACTTATAACAAAAACAAATTCATTGCAAATTTATGATTTATTTTTTGCCATTACAAAACCAGCGCTGCTGCTGCCGCTTCCACTGCAGTTAATTAATCTATGAGTGATAATTTTGTTTATGTGTGTCTTCTTAATAATTAATTCTTAATTTTTAAGTCAATGACTTGGTAAGAAATGAATTTTTATGGGCTATTTTACCACCACTGAAAAAAGTTGGCTAATTTTCTTGAAACCACTTTTTTTTATTTTGTAACACGTTATCTTTATCTGTTTAGTTTTTAAGCGCTAGTTAATGTTTTCCCGCTGCTAGTTCTTCTGCAACTGATTCGTTTGCTTTTGTATTTTAATTTGATTTGTTGTAAAAAAAATACACGTAAAAATTAAAAAGGAAAAAAATAAAACAAAACAAGTTTTTTTTGTTCAAATTGTTTACAGTTTGAAAAGCATTGTTGGTAAATGTCAAAGTGAAATGAGAAAAAAGAGAGAGCAAGCGCAACGCTGTCAGCGTTGTCAATAGTTCTGTTTTAAAAAGCATCAAAACAAAGAAAAAACGCGTATTTTTCATAAAAACGTGCTGACAAAAAATTTTTGAATTTTTAAATAAAATGCTTGTGTTAAGGACTTTTTTCTATGAAAAAATTAAAGAAAAGTAAGGGTGTATATTGTCTTTAATTCTCTATATTTTAATTATTAATATTCTTGTATCCACTCGAATCCATTTTTTCCATTTTTTAGAAGTGTAATTTGACATCAGGTTACTGAAATTTTACTGATCTAACAACACATTTTTAATTCAAATATTCGAACTTTTTTAACTCTTTACGACATTTGCTCCTCTTTTGCTTTTCCACTTTTCTGGTCCTTTTTCGACTTTTAATTGCAAAATCGATTCTTCGATTCTTTTTTTTTACCAGATAGTTGTCTTATTGGACAAAAAAGTCGACATAGACTTTTCGATTTTTTCCGGCAAAAATTTTAAATTTTATTACCTTGTAAGAAAAAAAATTTAAGAATTGATTTTGCAAATACAAAAAGTCGACTTTTTGTTTCAACTATAGAACACTAATTCTTGCTTAACAAACAGCGTGGCAACACTCTATACTACTTTTATCTCCATAACAATTGGCTTTCATATATATCAATCACAAAATTCATAAGATGGTTCTTGTCATTACTAAACAAGCAAATGTAAACACTAGTGTTGCCAGAAAAATTGTAACTCATGTCACCAACCTTAAGCTCCAAGTCCCTAAAAATAGCGAAATTTGAAAAAATCCCTAACAAAATTTAAACAATTATGAAAGTATAGTCGGACGTGGCCGACCATATGATACCCTACACCAGTTATGAATATTAAATGTGATTTATTTTTCATAATAAATCATTTATCTTCAATATTCCCTTGTTCCGATACATTTAAGCAATTTATGGATGAAAAACGAATATTCTGAAAGAGGATTTATATGGGGGCTAGGGGCAAATATGGACCAAGCCCGATAAAATTTTGTGAATATATTTATATTTACATAATATTTTATTGTGCTGAATTTCATCGCGATATTTGTGTTTATAAGTTAATTTGGGACATTCAAGTAATTTTCTGAAGGGGACTTTGTATGGGAGCTAGGGTCAGATGGGGCCCGATCTTTATGAAATTTGGCAGGGTCATCAAGACTTCTATAAAACTTAGTTGTGCCGTATTTTATCGATATATCTGTATATTTAACATAATTATGAGCTCAGAAGCCCTTTTCGGGGGGACCTGTTCTATGGGGGCTAGGTGAAATAATGGTCCGATTTAAATCATTTTCAATAGACTTCGTTCCTTGGGTCAAATAAAACGTGCGTGCCAAATTTCATCCAATTATCTTGAAAATTGCGACCTGTACCTTGCGCACAAGGTTTACATGGACAGCCAGCCAGACGGACGGACGGACGGACATAGCTTAATCGACTCAGAAAACGATTCTAAGCCGATTGGTATACTTTAAGGTGGGTCTAGGGCGAATATTTTTGTATGTTACAAACATCAGCACAAAACCAATATACCCTCCCCACTAAAGTGGTGTAGGGTATAAAAATTGAAACCCAAAGATCAAAATATACAAACTAATCTAATCCGAATATCGCGAAAATACCCCATTTTTTGACTTTGTAAGAGTAAAGAGACATCTGGCCAGTAAAATTAAAAATTATTTTTCAACTTATTATTTAATACCATGGCATATGTATGTACTATTTATTATTTTAAACATTAATTAATATAATTTATAATATTACACTTAAATAATTATAGGAATATGTAATAAAAACTAATGTTAATTTATTAGGAATAGATTTTAAAAGAACTGTACAATGTCGATGATAGAAGGATAATACATACAATAACTAAAACAAACTTCAAATGCAAATAAAAAAGTTAAATAAAAAATGAATTAAAAAATAATAATTGCAATTTTTAATTTAATATATAGTAAGTACTAACTAATCGCTATCGTAGTCGTTTTTACCAGCTACAGTTAAAGGACGTCGAGATTCATCTTCCGAACCATAAACCACCTCTTCATCTGAGTCATTGATCATGGAAAAGGCAGGATTATCTTTAGTAACAGATATTTCAGCTGGAATTAAAAAATGTATATATATTTGTATTTATTTTATTATATTTTTCAATTAGATAAGTAATACCTTGAGAAAATCGACCATTAGGAGCATAAACATAAGCCATTGTAAATAGATAGAAATTTAATAGACCATAAAAACACATAAACTGTGCTGAACTCCTGTAGGTGGTATTCAAAGAGGCCACAAAATTATCCTCCAATATGCCGAAACCAAAACGGCAAGTGGTCACCGTTATGGTAATCGTTATAACGAATAACATTAATAAAGTTAAAAATTTCAAACGCATATCTGAAAATAAGTTTAAAAACTAAGTAATTTTATGATTATCTCTTTGGATAGATATTTACTCACCAAAAAATGGCATTGATCTTAGTTCCGTATAAGCTCTTAGTATCAGCATGGCCAAATATAAAATGTACATTAATCCCGCAATATAGAAAAACATTTTAAAACCCTTATGAAATAAAAAATTAATATTAAATTTGGTTCCTAATTCTGTTCAGTTTATGTGCACTTACATTATAATTTTTGGTATCCACAAAATGACTATAAGTGGGATCTTTTAACTCATTACATTTCTCCCAAGTGGCCAATACGATGGCACACAGCCATATGGGTAAAACCACTATAATTTTGGGTAAATAAAATCGCACAAATCTTCGTTCATTTTGTCTTAGTCCATGATAGATGCAGAGCCAGAACATTAGCAGAGCACATAAAAAGGTAGCCTGCAATACTGCATCCAACATACCCGGCAGCCAGGAGTTCATAAGAAATATTAAGGGGAAGAAGGGATCTAAAAGAAAATTGTTAAATTTTAATTCCAAGATGCCCAATCATTTGTGAATGCTATAGCAATCGAAATATATATGATATAACTTCGAGTTCTTAAAATTACTTAAAATTTGATTCATATTTCAAATGCTACAATTTTCCGACCTCAACACATTACTGATCATTTTTATACAAAAATCCCTAATTGGTCCTTTGCATCTTATTAGATCCTAAGACTAATTTATACTTACTATCATACAGCAACAATAATGGCAACAAAACCGATATCCATTTCTGTTCTATAGACCAATCATAAATCGGATACTTGCGCAAGGTATGAGCATACCAACACTGAAAAACAAACCATATACAATATAACAAAAAATCTTATATAATTTACTATAAAAAAAAACTTACAATAACAATAAAAGTAAATAGCAGAAATATAAAGCGAAACCAGATTTCGATTTGAGTAAATTCCGGACTATAAGTTTTGAACTAAACGGGGGAGAAATGGTTGATTAATAAACTATAGATTTTAAATTTGAACAGAAACTTACATAAAATGTTATACCCGTTATATTATATTTCTGATGAAATGATTCCAAACCCAAAAAACGCACCGTTATAATATAATGAGCATATTCCAAGAAACCCAAATGCATAATAGTAAATTCCTCACAATCGTTGCGATTACAAGACAGATGACGCGTTCTATTGTGTAAATTTGCTGAAGATAAAATACTCAAGGGTTTATGTTGCTCGGTAATGCCATCAATGGCCACGCTGACATAGAAACGTTTGTCATATTTTTCATCTGCGAAAGAAAAAGTATTTTTAATAAACTTTTTAACAAAGTATAGAACTAGAACAGAACTGGAACAGGAACTTAACTAGAACAGAACTAGAACTGAACTAGAACAGAACTAGAACAGAACTAGAACAGAACTAGAACAGAACTAGAACAGAACTAGAACAGAACTAGAACAGAACTAGAACAGAACTAGAACAGAACTTGAACAGAACTAGAACAGAACTAGAACAGAACTAGAACAGAACTTGAACAGAACTAGAACAGAACTAGAACAGAACTAGAACAGAACTAGAACAGAACTAGAACATAACTAGAACAGAACTAGAACGGAACTAGAACTGAACTAGAACAGAACTAGAACAGAACTAGAACAGAACTAGAACAGAACTAGAACAGAACTAGAACATAACTAGAACAGAACTAGAACAGAACTAGAACAGAACTAGAACAGAACTAGAACAGAACTAGAACAGAACTAGAACAGAACTAGAACAGAACTAGAACAGAACTAGAACAGAACTAGAACAGAACTAGAACAGAACTGAACAGAACAAGAACAGAACTAGAACAGAACTAGAACAGAACTAGAACAGAACTAGAACAGAACTAGAACAGAACTAGAACAGAACTAGAACAGAACTAGAACTAGAACTAGAACAGAACTAGAACAGAACTAGAACAGAACTAGAACAGAACTAGAACAGAACTAGAACTGAACTAGAACAGAACTAGAACAGAACTAGAACAGAACTAGAACAGAACTAGAACTAGAGCAGAACTAGAACAGAACTAGAACAGAACTAGAACAGAACTAGAACAGAACTAGAGCAGAACTAGAGCAGAACTAGAACAGAACTGAACTAGAACTGAACTAGAACTGAACTAGAACTGAACTAGAACTGAACTAGAACTGAACTAGAACTGAACTAGAACTGAAATAGAACTGAACTAGAACTGAACTAGAACTGAACTAGAACTGAACTAGAACTGAAATAGAACAGAACTAGAACTGAACTAGAACTGAACTAGAGCTGAACTAGAACTGAACTAGAACTGAACTAGAACTGAACTAGAACTGAACTAGAACTGAACTAGAACTGAACTAGAACTGAACTAGAACTGAACTAGAACTGA